GATTTCACCACCGATCAATTGCGGTTTATCCCGAAAGTAATTTTACTAAAACACTTCGGTCGCTATGTGGAACGATTATCGGAGAAACTTCCCGAACATATAAGAGTGGATCCGGAGGTGCGGCGCTACCGTCGATGCCTGGAGCATTACAATCGTCCCTGGCAACGAACGCACATCGACGGCCCGGCGCCGCTCGTTAAAGATTGCAGCGAATGCAATTCGCGAAGCAGCGGTACGGTGTAATCGGTGATATCAGCGGCGCCGGCTTATTGAATAGAGCGATAAACGCGCTCCCCTTCGAATTACATATACCCGGATATCAATTTTGCGGGCCGGGTACTCGTCTCGCGAAACGATTAGCGCGAGGCGATCGAGGCATCAATCCTCTGGACGCGGCCTGCCGCGAGCACGATATCGCGTACTCGCGGAGCGGCGAGCTCACCGATCGACACACCGCTGACCGCGCGCTCGCTGAGAGAGCGCGCGAGCGCGTCGCGGCGAGAGACTCGACTCTCGGCGAGAGAGCCGCCGTGACAGCTGTATGGATAGCTATGAAATCGAAAACGAAACTTGGAATGGGCGCGACGAGAATTAAGAGAAAAAAGAGCAGAAGGAGGACGACCGCTACGAGGAAAAGAACGCTTCCGATAGCGAAACGCGGCTGCTTCTTGCCTCTGCTGCCGTTATTGGGAGCTCTCGGTTCTTTGGCTGGAGGAGCGGCGGGAATCGCGAAAGCGGTGCACGATCGCAAAGCGGCGCGACGACAGTTGGAGGAATTGCAGCGTCACGATCGCGCAATGGAGGTCTCGTGATTATACCTCGCACCGTACAAGCGCGGAAGTGGCGCGTCCACGACGAGAAGAAGAGGAAGAGCTAAAAAAAAACTTCGCGTAAACAGACGCTAGGGATTCTCCCATCCGTCGGAGTAACGACGAATGGGAACGAACAGTTAAATCGCGCGGCGATACTCTCACGCGTGCCTCACTTTAGAGACGTGTTTATGCGCGACGCGCTTCCATCGCGGGCGCGCCGCGATGAAAGCGGCATCGTGAATTTAGACGACGCATCCGGCCCGGTTAGTCATTGGGCGATCGAGCGCAGTTCGACCGCTCTCGTCAATCATGTCGCTAACTATGACTCTTTCCGGACGAAGCAGCATTCTCGCGGCGAGTTACTTTCCGCCTCTGGATTTAAACGACGATGATTACAAGTTAGGTTTAACCAATTTCGACTTATAACACGATACCGAATGTAAATTCCACGAATAATAAATTTTATTTCGACGACAACGACGAGGTTATCGCGATTCAAGTGGGATCTTACGAGTTAAGCGCTATAAGCGCGTATCTAAGAGCCGCGATTTATCGCAAACGACGAGCGAGAGAGGAGAGGCGAGAGCGCGGAAACGAGGAACTGGAAACGAGCGATGACGATTATATATATAATGGTCGGCGACGACCGCGACGACTATTTCGAAGACGATGACAACGGTGATAACAGTGAAAATTCTATAACGCTTCGCGGTAACGATAACACTATGTGAAGCGAGATCAAGTGCGCGTATCGAGTAAATTTCACAAAACCTGATAACATCAGTTCGCTACTGGGTTTCTCGTCTCGCTCATCGCGTCGCCCCTAGACGCGAAAAAGAGAAAGAAAAAGGAAGGAAGGTTAACCGTCGCCAACGCGGCTTTCCTGCGCTCTTTAGGCTTCGTCGTACCGAGAACCGTTTCTCCGTAAAAGCGGAATGTGCAACATTCTAAGCATCGGCGGGGAGCCGATTTTCGACGACCGTATCGTCAAGATCGAAACTCACACATACAATCCTTACGATTTTTAGTTTACGGCCCGCTCGTAGTCATCGACTGTTCTCGACAGAACGAATCGATCAAGAGCGCTACCGTGGACGTTCGCATAGAGTTCGATTGCAAGGAGAACATTCCCTCTAATACCACAGCTTACTGTCTTATTATTCACGATCGAGTGGTGGAGTACAATCCGCTCACCAACGTTGTGCGCAGAATCGTGTAAGCGCGATGATATTTGAAAAAATATGAAGAGAGAATAATAGAGGCGCACACTTCGAGTACCGCTAATAACGACAATGGACGCACCGATCTTCGTCGATCTTCAAGGTTTCGTAGTTAACGAGAGATTTGTCGCGAAAGAAGTAGCCGTGTTAAGAAGTGGCGCGAAATTGACGCATCACATCTTTCGCCCACCGATGTCTTGGAATCTGCTAACGAGAGCGGAAAAATCGCGAGCGTGTTGGTTGACATCTAATCATCATCAATTAAAGTGGAATGACGGACACGTGAATTACGGGTCGATGAAAAGACTCATTCGGGACGCCGTATGCCGAGAATCTAGCCCCGATTCAACGATAAGAATCTACGTCAAAGGTCACGAGAAGAAAAAATGGCTGATCGAGATCTTAGGAAACGTCGCCGACGATCGCGACGTAGCCGTCTCCGTCGAGACTATCGACGCCGATTACGAGGACATCGAACGTCTGGAAACTCTAAACGCTTCGCGGACCTTTCGCTGCGGATATCACGCGAGGAATTGCGCGTTGGAGAACGCTTGCAAATTGCACGATTGGTGAAATTAAAATAAATCTATTTTATTTTAGTATTTTATATTAAACGTGGATTTTTTAAAATAAATTTATCTTTACATATTAAACAAACACTCTTTTTATCGCGATCGCGTATCCTTCCGCGATAAGAGAGCGCCAACGCTTACTACAAAAGGCGCTGCGATTCGGGCTCCTCGTCGATCGCTCGCGATTCGGGCTCCTCGTCGATTGGCCGCGATTCGGGCTCCTCGTCGATCGGTGACGCGACGATTCGCCTATTCTCGCGTTCGTGAAACCTGTCGATCAACTCAGGGATGGCGAAGTCGCGATCGCGAAACTCGAATTGCTCGGGGGCTCGCGCGACATCGCGTCGGCGAGCGTCGCGCAACGCGCTGTGAACGCTTTGCGCTTGCGCGAGCATAGTTCTCGTCTTCGTCAATAGATGGTAGAGCGATTCTCGCGCCGTTCTCATACAATCTTCTATCCGTTGTCTAAAGTAAAGAAGTAAAAGGGTTATTAAAAGATTATAGATAAACGAGTAATAAAAATAGATTATAGAGGAAAATAACAAAGAATAATGCGATAAAAGAGACTCGAGCGCCCGCTAAATAACGCGCATCCCGGATACGCGATGAATGCTTATCGTCGCCGGAAGGGGTACGTTTCTCTAATCGCTCGTCGAATGTCCTTCTTAGAGGATAAATGAATAATAAAAATAGAAATAATAAGTCCGATAACGCGACATCTCTGCGTCGCGCTTTGTCGCTGTTTCAGGAATACTATCAATTATTGGGAAATAGCGAGTTAGACGCCATTACGCTTAGCCTTATGCGCAAATCACGATGCGGTCTCGCGAACATTCCCGATCGCGCGTATAGCCCGATTGCGCGAAAATGGCTAAAAACGCGTCTCACGTGGAACTTTCAGGTAGCTAGCGAGGAACTCTCGCGAACGGCCGAAGCGGTGTTCGCGTTATGGGCGGTGAATTCGTCGCTAACCTTCGCGCGCGACCCGATATACTGATATCGTATCGAACGGGCGCGCACACTTACGCGAATCGCAGGAATATAGGCATTTGCCCGGCGACCTTCGACGGTCCCGGGGGAGCCCTAGCTCACGCGTTCTTTCCCTTTGGAATGACCGATTTCGCGTCGGAAGTACACGTTGACGATTCGGAACCGTGGCATGTATATCTAAATAAAAATCCTCCCAACACGCATCATTTGTTGCAAACGCTGACGCACGAGATCGGCCACACTTTGGGTCTACAACACAGCATGCGCAACGACTCGATAATGTTCCCGTATATATCCGACATCGACAATCAATTTCCGGTTAAGCTGAGCATAGAGGATATTCTGGCTATACAGAATCTGTACGGGTCTCACGACGATGGAAACTATCCGACGGCGACTCCCGCGACCACCGCGGCGCCCGCTACGACAAGCGTCGCGCCAATCGACCCCGCGCGCGCGGATCTTTGCGCTTTGCGGCGCGTGGACGCCGTGCTGATAATGAATCACCGATTGTATATAGCTAATCGCCGCAATGTGTGGTCGATCGACGTAACCGAGAGACGCTACGGTAGATCCATGACGCTCACGGATTACGCGGTGTTTCTCCCGGCGAATTTCACTCGCCTATCCGCCGCGTATCGAAGACCCTCGAACGATCTCGCGCTATTCGCAGACGATTCGATCTACCTCGTGGAATATCCCAGACTTAAGCTAAAATCGGGTTGGCCGAGATATCTCCACGATATCGGACTTCCTCGAAATGTTAAGATTAACGCTGCGATAAACACGCACACAGGACGAACCTACGCGATCTATGACGACGACAAGGTAGCGGAGATCGACGAGTGTCGCATGATAGTCATTAGACACGCTTCGTTAAAAGATATATTTCCCGGAATACCGCCTGCGATAACGTCGGCCTTTTGATATATCGACGGCAATCCATATTTCTTCGCCAAACGTCAGTTTTACGCCTTTAACGAATTTACGAATATCGTAACTTTGGCGGGTCCTTTCGATCTACACGCGCTCGGTATCGAGTGTCCTACGGATGGGCTGCTAAG